GAGATACAAGTATTTTTAACATTTTTGTTATTAGCTTTTCAAAAGGTGAACGCGATTTATTTGTTAAATTATAATAATCTCAATAATACTTACATTATAAAATTCCTTTTTAAAACCACATTAAAATATTACATATAAACATATATCATTATCAAACCATACTTGGCATCACACGTTACACCTTTCATTTATTGTATGATAACCAACTCAAATAATAGTTGTACACTTTGTAAATGTTGTGTCACTTAACACTTAATTGTTTCACCACGACTATGATATTAAGAAAATAAATGTAAGATTCCTTTTAAATGTTATTCTTATTCAGTGTTTTACTTTTCCTTAAAACATAATTAATATCGTTTTAATTTGCATCACAGCCATCACAACTTACGTCACAACATATATTAAACACAGAGTTGGCATTTAAATAAGTCTTAATGTTGATTATAATTATTTCATTTTGAAATATTCTAAAATGAATATGTAATTGCCTTTATTGAGTCAAATATGTTTGTTTTTATTTTACATTTTCTTGATTTTTAAACACCATTTAAGAAAAAAACACCACTTCCATAATTTTGAAATAAATATGTGTTTTTATATCAAAAACACTGGCACATGACGTGAAATATGTATTTGTATTATAACAACTGTGACATGGAACAGCATATTATTTTTTGTTATTAAATATTGTATTAACACATAACACACCATTTTTATATGTTCAATTTGTGTATAATTCACAATTTCCAAAGCAAGATAAATCGTATCCATTCGTCCGATCATGAGTTTTTTAGATTGTAAAACATTTTGTACACTAATTCACACGTAAGTGTATATAAATCATTTACACACTCTGAGAACACAGAAGTTCCACTGTTTGAAAATATTTGATGAAAATCAGAACAGTGAATAATAATAATCATACAAACATCCAAAGCCATTTAAAGTGCTTCTTTATTGTTTTTGAAAATAACTTACTATTGATTGAAACACATACTGTTTTTACAAACCTTGATTACAATGAATTTTCATATGTTTTACATCTCAAATTATTTGGTATATTTGAAGTGTTAAATTGCATTATTAATTTAAAACAAGATGTTGTATAACAAATTTAATATGTTCCTCAAATATATAGTTAACTCTGTGTTGATGTTGATAATATTTAAAAGTGGGTTCAAAAAGTACACTTTTAAATAATAGTATTTTTAAATTATCAAGAATACTATTAAAGATATAAAGTACTGTTTTGATGTGTGAAGTATTATATTTTTCACAAGACAAATGCCTGCAATTATTTGTGTGTGTTTTAGCATCACTATGCGTACAAATCGTTTTATCTGAAATAAGAAATCGATGAAATAATAATATGCACAATACGTTATAATCATTAGTGAATTTCAATCAAACATCACATGGATAAAAGTCTTCAATTTTAATACATTCTTGATTAACAATTTGTAAACGTGGTTGATTTATAATCTTAATTCAATAATAATGTTTATATATAACACTTGCTCGACCCCATTTAAAACATATTATCTAATAAACACCAATTCATTCTGTACATGTTTTAAAGTTTTAATAATAACTTACAAAACATGTAACAAGTGAATTTGTTGTTCTTCAGTCAAATAAGTTTCTGAACAATATTAATAAATTAAAGTTTTTCAAATATTAACACTTTTAACATAATATTAATCATTTTTTTACGAAGTTAATTGTCAAATAATTTTTCTTCAAAAAGCATAATTAATCGTATAAACAGCATCATTTCAACAATTTAGTGTTTATATGAAAAACATATTTTGAAGAC